TTGCCTTCTACGTAGGCCCAGCGTCTTCATCAAGGCGCTTAAACGACGAAACTAACGCCTGGTTTTTTTTTCAAACGAATTATTTCCATGTTGAAAACAGATAAGTAGGCGCCAACAGGATAAGTGGTTAGTAGGAGGGATGAAGCCAAACAAACAAAATTGGAATGACCGACTTATTAATGGACAGCTTCATAAAGTGCAAAAGAATCACTCTGTCGTTGTTGTTAGGTTTTTTTGTAAGCGTTTGAAACTAGTGCTCATATTTGCATTTTAGCCTGAAATCGGCATCGCCGAGACGGTAACATTGACAGAAACAGATATGGAGTTGGCAACATGTAAGGTGGTGACGACGACGCTCATCGACGAGCAGGAAAACGAAGAAGAGGCGGATAAACAGCCATCGCCGACGTTGACAAACAATTTTTGGCCGACGTCCGTCGGCAACTTCCGTTTCTGCCTCGAAGAATCACATGGACAGCTGCAATTGCTCTATCACCTGATGAACGTACGTAATGTTTTGTGGACTCGTACGACTCCAGCTTAGCGCAGTGTTTTTAGAAAATCGAAAACTTCCGCAACCCTGACGTGATTTACTACAAGCTCTGTGCCGTTAAGTACCTCTGTCTGCACGGCAAATCGCTGTCTAAAATTAATTCTGACGAACGGGGCTTTTTGATCTGGGCGCAGGAAAACATACTTATACCAAAGTAGGCTCTTGACCTTACCTTCAGCTATAGCTGTCACGTTATTACTTGATACTATTATTTTAATGACAGGTTTTGGACCTTGTTGCAAACACAGTACAGTCAGATCGCTGAAGTCTGTACGCCGCTCATCTTGCACTGCCTGAACCTACCGAGCGGCGCTGACACTTACTGGAAGTTGATCGATGAAGATTTTTCATCCTCTGATCCAATGGTGCGCTTCGCTGCTGGTACCTCATGTTTTATTTCTTTTACTGTTTCCTTATTATGACTTAAGTATTTTTTGTTTAACGGTTCCATTATGTAGATGAACCACTTCGTTAGCTGTAGTGTTTGTTAGATAGCGGCAAAGGATATTTTAAGGCAATATATCCGTGACGCTTTTAATTATTGATCTAATCACGGTGTATCTCTCCTCTTCGCGGAGACGGCATACTAAGCAAGAAAGTTACCCATAACGATTTGCTAATTGGCGCAGTGTGGACGACAAATAAATCTTCCTTTCCCAATGCGATGCCGCGTTCCGTAAAAGTATTCCGCCTGGACCAAATTAATTGGTGCTCACTGTTCAGTTCTTTCGATGTCATCTCGCTTCTAACGAGATCTTTCAATCTTGTTGAAGGGCTTCCTGGCGGTCGCTTGCCGTCATCAGGCTTTGTGTTCAGAAAACTCGCTTCGCAAGACGGCAATCATTCATTCGTTGGCAGTAGGGCAACCATCTTACGCGCTTTGTTTGCAGCCAATCAGACGGTTTAGCTGGAAATTCTAATCTGACGCCAAGTGGTGCCTTTCTACTCCTAGTATTGATCTTAAAAGTTAACATTGCTTCCGCCGTATTTTCCCATCGCTAACGCGCACCTTGTAATATTTAATGCTCGTGAAAATGTATAGATAGAGTGTAGTCTATTTCTTGTCTGAAAAAAGGCAGATTTTGGACAAACGAATCATGGAATAGTTTGATTGGCTATGCCTGTATCTAAAACAAACGAAGAGAAGAATTAACAAGCGTCGCCATATTGCTTTTGGTCTTTGAACACGTGTATTATATAAGTATTGTTTTTAAAATTGAAAGTTGCTAATGAGAAAAATACTGAAGGAGAGAAAAATACCGTGCGGGGAAAATTATATACAGCGACGTTTCAGCTGAAGGCCATTAGTTTGGTGAAATGAAAAGGGAATCGTGAGGCAGCCAGGAAATTTAACGTTGGAGAATCCAAGGTACGTGAATGGATAAAGAAGAAGCAGTTCTAAATTGTTTGCACCAGAATAAACATGCAGTGTGGTACAGGAGATGCTTCTCGCCAAAGCTCGAAGAAACATTTCTCGATTGGGTTCTTTCTTAGAGATCATAAGGATATGAGAAGACAACAACCAGTATTTTGTTGAAGACGAAAGTAGTTGCAGAAGAGGAAAAAGTAAGGAATTTTAAAGTTTACCTATCACGGGCTTTTAGATTTATGAAACGGAACAGTGTTACATTTTCGTTCATCCACGAGTGTTGTCCAAAAACAGCCCAATGGCTGGGAAGCAAAATTAGAGAAATTTAGACTTTTCGTTGAAGAAAACTTTTGGTGTGAATCCTGCACGTTTCGCCAATACGGACGAAGTGCCCGTTAGCTTTGATATGCCTGGTTCAAGGACTGTTAATTTAAAAGGATAGAATGAAGTTTCTGTAGCCACAACCGTGCATGAGAAGTCGAGTTTTACTGTGGTGTTAAGTGTGACTTCCATTGGTGGGAAGCTTCATATTTCACGGCAGGTGTTACTCAATTTGAGTAAGCCTCAGAGGTCAGTGCAAACCGAGTGCGATGTTACGCCTCACCCTGGAAATGTACCCTTCTTGATCAGTACTTTCTTATATTTATGAGAAAAACAGTGCCTAAAAGAAACTTTCCCAAAAACATTTTGATTTCTGCGAATGAGATAAGTTGTGTCAATCAAGACAATAAAAGTGTGGGTTGAAAACGTTTGGAAAAAAAGAAGTCAGGCCTTTTTCAGTTCAGAATCCTTGTTAATAGTGGACTCTTGCCTGGCACATATTCCTGATGATCTGAAGGGATTAGTAGTCAAGTGTTCAAAATTGGCAATTATTCCCGGTGGATTTAAAAAAGGATTCACCGCTTGATATACCCGTTAATAAATCTTTTAAGTCAAAGTTGCCTTCCAGATGGGAGAAGTGGGTAATGATTTAAATTAAAGATTATAGTAAATCGGGGTAAAGAATTAAAATGTGTCACATGAAGAAACGTGCTGGTGGATCGTTGAAAATTGAAAAGGTGTTATGGTGTCTTGTGTGAAGAACGGGTTTTTAAAAGCATGTACTAGATGGTGCAACACCAGAAATAGAATGACGAAGGATTAATTTCAGAAAACGAATTGAGTGATGTACATAAGAAACTGTAAATGTTCTTGATTCATATTGATCCAGATCAAGAATTTATGGTTTTGAGTGGCTTTATGTTGTTTTACATTTTATTTTATCTTGATTTGTTATATTAACCTTTATATTCACTGATATTGTAATATGTACATGGTTTTAGACTAATTTATTTTCAGAATTGACGCAATTCGAAATTACCGCGTCC